GGCTTTGGAGACTGATTTTTGGTGGTGGCCTTAGAAAATGAAATAGAAATGGAGAGCAATGGCAGTCTAGAGCTTTGTTTGGAAGAATGACCTCCTGCCCTAAAAAGAAGAAAGTTAAACTGGGATGAGATGAGAGGGAAGGTCTAGGCCTAGAAGGTCTAGGAGTAGGTGACAAAAAGTGATCTTGCAGATTTGTCTAGTATTTTGGTGCTCATCTCCCTCTCTCTTTCCTCCTGTCATACACATGTACACATACACACACACACACAAGCTATTTTGTGAATTAAAAAGCCCACCAACCCTGTCAGTCATTCTGCAGCTCCTCCTTCTGATACGTTTTTCAAGTGAGACAGGTCTAATTTCACTGGTGAAAAATGCTTTCAGCCAATCCTAGGCTAGACTGGGGCCAGTAAATTCAAGCAGTGAATCAAAGTTTTAAAAAGACAAAAAATGCCTGTAGATGCTCCTTTGTATATGAGGTCAGAGAGATACAAGGGGAAGCCAAAGAGATCCCAATATATTGCTTACATGAAGATCCCATTACAAATATATTCATGGCAATCTCAGTTCTTCCAAGGGGCCATATTTATGTAACCAAAACACCACTGCTACACTGAAATGGAAAATATTAGCATACTTGGAATAACTTATGCAGGCACAGCAATACAAAAAATATTTAGGGGACAAAAGTCCTAAAAGGGAGGGGGGGCAGGAGACAAGGAGAGATAGAAAAAATGCAAAAGTATGCTGTGTTGCTGCAAACTGTGATGTGTTGCATTGTCTATTTGTTGCAGATCTCACAATATATGACATAACACAGTCACTGTTCTGAGGGAACTCTGAAAACATTAGGTTTGTAATGGGAAGTGAAGGATCTCTGGGCAGAATTCTCTGCATCCTTCCCAAGCTTCAGTTCGGAAGGTGTTCTTCCTCAGACTGGCACCCTCCAGGTGTGTTGAAACAAAGTGCTGGCAGGGAATTCTGGGAGAGCAAGCAGCGAGGCCCTTGCTTGGAAAAAGGCTTGGGCTGGGAGTACTTTTCACAAATACGTTGATGGCGGGAGGAGAAAGCGCCCCCCAAAGAAGTCTCAAGGAAGCAGGCCTTGCCAGGCCCTAGATTGGCCTTGGGGAGACACATGAAGAGCCTTCTCCCCTCCCACCAACACAGAGCAGAAGCTTGAAGAAACCCACACATGAATGTGGCTGATTCTCTCTGCCTGTGGGTGCAACCGCGACCGCTGCTTTTTGCTGCCGAGGAAGGCTGCCGCTATCTGCCCTGCCATCTCTTTTCCTCGCAGGCAGGGAAGTTACCACAGATCAGACTTTCACAACCACCTGCAATAAAAGCCATTCTTCAGAAAATCACAGCCAGGCTGAACTGAATCCCAGCGTTGTCAAAGCCCAGATCACAGTGTTGCCACACTTGCATATTTACGTTGGCATACGCGTTTGCAGGTTAGAATCTACCTTGGCACGTAAAGCACTGTGATGAATAAGCAGGTGTACATGTCCAAGTAGATAAAGGAGAAAAAGTTCAGAGGGGATCTGATTGATTGATTGACTGAGGGATTGCCGTCAAGTCGTTGTTGACTCTTGGCGACCACATAAACCACATTTTTCCCATGATGATTTCTCCCTAACCTGGTCTTTCAGGTCTTCAACAGTGTACTCATTGCCACTGTAACTGAATCCATCCACCTTGCTGCTGGTCATCCCCTTTTTGCTTCCACCTTTCCCCGCATTACAGCCTTCTCTAGAAAGGTGTTTGGTCTTCACATACTGTGCCCAAAGTAGGACTCTGAGACTAGCCATTTGTGCCTCAAGTAACAACTCTGGGTTGATTTGTTTGGTGATCCATTTGTTGTTTTCTTGGCTGTCCACGGTATCCTTAGGAGTCTTCTCCAGCACCAAAGTTCAAAAGCATCAATACTCTTCCCATCTTGTTTCTTCAAAGTCCAAGAGGGGATCTAGCATTGATGAAATCTGAGAAAATTCAATAAAAGCCTAAATGTATGTAAAATAAAAATAGTGACCATCACTAACAGCAACATTAATTGATTTGCCATATTAATTAACATTTGGGAAGCATTTTCTCTTCCAGATCAGGCCTGAAGTCAATTATTTGGTTGTGTCCATTTTTTTCTCTACACACCACCCAAATGCATAGCTTTAGAGCTGCCTGATATGAATGGTTGCTCTGGAAGAAATATCTTTACTTAAGATCAGTGTTTCTCAACCTTGGCAACTTTGAGACATATGAACTTCAACTCCCAGAATTCCCAGCCAGCATGTTAAAGCTGCTAAGGTTGAGAAACGCTACTTAAGACTATAAAGACGTATAGCACTGGAAGGTGACCATAGAATCTGAAGGGATCTTAGAGGCCATCACGTCCAATGCACTGCTTCAGACAAGATCTACTAAAGCACACACAGCAAGGTGTAGAAGTTAATCCACTGCACATATTGATTTAGGCTAAAGTTCATGATAGCTGGCAACTGTTGGAATTTCTAAAGGTCCTCTTCTCCTTTGCTTCAGAGGATGAGATGGTGCTGTATGTATGTATGTATGTATGTATATACAGTGGTACCTCGGGTCATGAACGCTTCTGTTCACGACCAATTCAAGTCACGAACAGCACCGTTCGCAAAATTTTGCCTCCGTTCGTGAACTCCGCATCGGGTGACGAACAGGATCCGCAGCCATTTTCCCTCCCGTGACACGTGGTC